CCTCCCTTGTTCATGCAGCAGAGCAGAAGCAAAGCTGAGCTTCAAACTCAGGCCTATCTGGCTCCAAAACCCTTGCTCATACCACTGCTCCTCTTACAGAGATTAGAACTCTAGTTGCTCCAAAAGAGAAGTCTCTGCACAAGTGCCCTTGAGACCTAAGATTCTTCAAGGGCTGCTTTGACCACCTGGAGTCAATACAATAATACAGGTGGGCTGGAAAGTTCACATCTTCACACATGTCTACACACACACTACCCCCACCAAGGTCACAAAAGGCACTTTATTGCTATCAGAGAACCCACCCTCGATCACATTGAATGTCATTGAGTAACTCAATATTCTTTTTTTTTTTTTTTTTTGGAGAGGTTTTTGCTATAGGGCGCGTGCGCTCGCCAGACAGAAAGAGACAGACAGAGAGATAGAAAGTGAGAAATCACCCCCCCAGGGGGGATGGCCACACCGCAATCCCTTCTCCTCCATTCTCCTCTCGAGATCTTGGGCATGCACGCACATACGCCTGGCATGAGTTTAAGCCACCGGGTCTGGGACTCGAACCATGGTCGACCACGTGGGAGTCCAGCGACAAAGCCATTACGCTAACTGCTGGTCCCATAACTCAATATTCTTAAAGGAAGAATCATTTGTATAGCTGCCCCAATATAAAACAGAAAAATAAAAGAAATCTTTTCTACTTATTTTTAAACCTAAGCCATTGATCAATTTGTTCTCAAAGAATAAAGCGCACATTTTGCATCAATGCAGAAAGCAAAACCAAAGTTATGATGAAATACCAGCCCAACTCCCCAGTCCCAGTTCCACCCTGCTCCTGGCTTAAGCCATAAAACTTGTAATTGCTCACCAGGGGTAGAATAAAACACGCTTCCTGAGAGCAGTAAGCTTGACTGCCGTGAAGTTCAACATCGTTCTGGGGCCAGAGGAGGGAGAATAGCTTGGGCTTCTGCCTTGCGTAAAGCCCTCTTCCCTGACCTGTTGGGAAAGGAAGGAAGGGAGAAGTTTGGGAATTCTGTAATGTCTGAGTTTGTCAAAATTACTCCAATTATGACGGATATTACCCCAAATGGTTCTTTTCCCTTGCCAGTCACAATTTCCCATTGTAATTTTCATTTTCATCTGAAAAGTATTTTTACCAAAAATGAAACGATATATTTACTCTGGAAATAGGTATCAAGGCAGATGTTGGACATGACACCAGGCCCATCAGTCCTAATTGAGCTGGTCTAATACACATCTGTCAGAGGCCACTGATCTCTGAAGGTGGTGAAGGGTATGGGAAGATGGCAACCAGGGCACGTGAGGAGCAACCAAGCTTTGATACACCTCACAGGAAAGAAAGGTTTCTAAGAGCAAAAATGCTAAAGATATAGCCTGGTGTAACTGACAGAATATTGGTTGTTGAATTTCTAATATTGTTTTTAGTTCAGCCTAAGGAAATAGTGAAATCATAACATTTCCATTAGAGTGCCCGGTCTAAGTACTGTATCTTCATTTTCTTTCTGCAGTAAAGAAATAGAGAATGGTGAGAATTATAAAGCATATAAGATGACATGTTATCATTTTAATTCTTAAAGATTCAATCAAGTTGCAAAACTTCCAGACCTCACCTAGTAGCTAGTTAGGAATGAAAACTCTCGGCCCCTTCTCCAGCCCCCTGACTCAGAGGCAACATCTTAACAACATCTCCAAGGGGCCTGGGTCTGAGTCTGAGAAGTCCTATGTTAAATCTAAGTTTAGGGATGAAAACGGAAGCAATGATAAAAATAACAGCAATCCTCATTGCCATTAAGTGTTCCCAATGGCTAAGCACAAGGCTATGCTCTTTTGAACACGTTGTCATTTAGTCTTTATGATGACACTAAAAGGAATGCATTACTATCCCGATTTTACAGGTGGGACGGTTGACACTCAGGAAAATTTTAAAATGTATCAAAAGTCATTATTTTTTTTAAGCTTCTTCACACTGATTTTGACCAAAAAAATGTTTTTGTTATGATTCCAAAAGCACAGGCAACAAAACAAGATAAATGACATTGCATTTGTCTAAAAAGCTGCTCTACAGCAAAGGAAATAATAAATGTAGTGAAGAGCCCTCCTATGGAATGAGAGGAAATACTTGAAATCTATACAAATGTAAAAAGGTCAATAATCAAGATACATAAGTAATAAAAAAAGTCAATAACAAGAAAACAACCCATTTAAAAAGTGAGAAAAGGGGCCAGCCCCATAGCCTAATGGTTAAGAGAACCTGATCCCACGAGACCAACTGTGGTTTGAATCCCAGCCCAGAGGCTTGAAAAACACTCCAGGTATTCAGATATATGTGCCCAGAATCTTGACAGGATGGTGAAATGGAGGAGAAGGGGTTGAAGCATGACCACATCCTACTGGGGGTGCTCTCTCCCCCGGCCCCCTCTCTCTGTCTCCAGAAGGCACACAACTGAAAAATACCTAGGAACTAAAAAAAAAATAATTAAAAGAACAACTTGAACAGATAGGTCTTAAAAGAAGACACAAGTGGCCAACAAGTACATGAAAAACTGCTCACCATCACTAATAATCAAGGAAATGCAAATTAAAACCACAATATTACCTCAAGGAAATGCAAATTAAAACCACAATATCACTTCACACCTGTTAGAATTCTCAGAAAGATAAAAAAAAAAAAAACATAAGCTTTGGACCAGCCAGTAACATAGTTGTTAAAGCAAATAGATCTCACATAGCTAACTACCTGGTTTGAGTCCTGGACCCAGCATCCTGAAAAACACTCTGGGTGTATGTGTATGCATGCCCAACATCCCAAGAGGGGAATGTAGGGGAAAGGACTATGGTATGGCTATCACCCTCAGGGGGTGTGCTCTCTTTCTCTCTCTCTAGCAAGCACACATGTCTTATAGCAAATTTAAAATGATAGTAAGTGTTGGCAAGGATGTAGAGAAAGGGGAATCCTTGTACACTATTGGTAGATATGTAAATTAATACATCCATTGAGAAAAACGGTATGATTTCTGAAAAAGTTAAAAATAGAACTACTGTATGATATAGCAACCCCACCAGTGAGTGCATATCCAAAGGAAATGAAATCAGAATGTTGAAGAGCCATCTGCATACCCATGTTCATTGCTGCATTACTCAGAATAGCCAAGATATGAAGTCAACTTAAGTGTCATAAATGGATGAATAAATAAAGTGAAATACTAGTCAGTCTTAAAAATAAAGGAAAGTCTATTCACTCATAAAAAAAAACAACAAGGTCCTGTAATTTGATAGAAAGTGGACAAATATGGAAGATTTGCTGCTGAGTGAAGCAAGTCATGTATGAAAGAAAGACATTGTATGTCTCCACTTAACATATACCAACTCTCTGCTCTCTATGGTAGAGACTGAAAGACTGGAGAACATAAAAACATTAAAAATTGTAATAGACACTAGAGACAAAGGGGAAAGAGAGTGTGAGAGGAGGAGTGTAGGAAATTGGGGGGTATGGAGAGGTAAGACACTTGTGGGACACAGATAGGGTTTCTTATCTGTTGATGAGGATGTGTATGGTGATCTCAACTGGGCTGGACCGAGGTGTAAATCATTCTGGGTAAAGTCTCTTCACAATCTAAATTATGTATAGTGATTTAATGCATGAATAATAATTTTTTAAATTAATTTTAAAAACTTCTAAAAATATAAAGGACAATCATTTGTGACAACATGAATAAAACAAGGGGACATTATATGAAGGAAAATAAAATAGACACTGAAACAAGTATTGTATGATTGTTCATACTTGGGGAAACCTAAAAAAAGTCAGACTCACAGAAGCAGAAAGTGGAATAAGTATCAGGGGCTGCAAGGGGGTGAGGGACTGGCAGTAGAGAGATGTTTGCCACATGTTACGAAATTTCATTTGCACAGGATGAATAAATTCCAGAGATCTATTGTACAGCATAGTTAATAACAATACATTCTTGAAATTTGCTAAGAGATTTTGAATGTTCTCACCAAAAAAGTGACATGATAAATAAGTTAATTAACTTGATTTAAATCATTCCAAACTGTATACATATAGAAAAAAATCATTTTCTTACCTCAAAAATATATACACATTAATTATTGGTATAATTTAATGAATTATATCAATAATTAAGTAAGTCTATATCTTTCACAAATCAACTCTCTCTTCTTTTTCAGCCTCTTGCCTTTGGGCACATGCATTTGCTGGAAATAGACAGTGAGAGAGAGAGAGAAAGTGAGAACTCATCCCCCAGACGGGTGGCCATGCTGCAATCCCCTCTCCTCCATTCTCCTCTTGGAATTTTGGGCAAGCACACACTGGCACCCAGTGTGTTTTTCAAGTTGCCAGGTCCAGCACTTGAACTGAGGAGCGTACTATGTGGGCAGCACTTTACCTACCATGCCATCTGCTGGCCCTTCAACTCTCTTTGTAAGGTGAAGACAGAAATAGTGGGTCTTAAGAAAACAACATACTAGGAACTCCAAAGGAAAGAAGGACTTTGCAGATGCCATCCAGAAATCCAGCGTGGAAACGCAAAAGCAGGCCAAGTATGAGAGGAAACACCTCCCCCTGGCTGGTCTCCTAACATGTGACTATAGCAGCAGACTGTCATCCTTGAAGGGAAAGGAAAAGGAAAAAACAAGTAAAAGTATGCTTAATTGATGAAAAAAAAAAAAAGCTATTTGCTGATAAGTTAGAGAGTAATATCTTTGGCGTGACTGACATACATAGTATTTGTGCTGGAAAAAGAAACGTCATACACTGTAAAGATGTGATTAAATGTAAATAAATTAATTTTAAAAAGAAAAAAGTCTTCCTTGCATAGGTTTCCACCTCCCAGAGCAATAAACCTTTCTTAGTTTACAGCAGTTACTGGCTATGACTCTGCCCGTGGGCAGGTTACCAGACACCTGTGAAAGGGGAAGCCGGCTAAGTCACTCACAGACAGCTCTGGTACCTTCTCTTCTCTCTGCAGCTTCCTCAACCAAAAGAGCCAGAATCGCGTGATCCCGGGAATCAGGTAAACACCACTGGGCAGGAGCCGTATTCCTTCTTGGAGCAACCTCTGACGCATGTGTGCTACACCCTGTGCCCTCCCACCACCCCACAGTGGGGCACCTCTCCGTCTGTGAACAGTCACCGTTCTTGGGGATCCCCCAAAAAAAACATGTTCCAGGAAACAGATCACCATAGAGGCTCAGATGTTGTGTTTTTTCATCAACGTTCAAGCAAGCCAAGGTATTTTAGTGTTCTGGCTGAGTGTGCCCCCGACTGTGCCTTTTGTCAGCTACGTAAACATGGTTCAGCTAGTTACATCTCTGTACCTCGTTTTCACCATCTGTATAATGGGAATAGTAACACTATCTAGGGCGGCATAATTTTCAAGAATTTAAAGAACATTCCACAAATGTAGAGAGTATAGCTGCCAAAATTTTATTTAACTCATTGAGGAGAGAACTCATAAGTTGATAAAAATGCTTCAGCAGGGGACATGGTAGCTAAGGTGCTGGATTCCCACATGGCCGACAGTTTGAGTCTCAGACCCAGCAGCTTAAAAATCATGCTGGGCACCTCTGTGTGTGTGAGTATGTGTGCATGTGTGTGCATGTGCGCATCTGCATATGTGCCCAAAATTCCAAAAGGAGACTGTTGGAGAAGAGGTTGCAACTTGGCCTTTCCCACTGTGGGGTGATTTCTCACCTTCCCTCTCTCTGTCTCTCTGACCAGCGAGTGCATGTGCCTATAGCAAAACCCTTAAATAAAAAAATATAAAAATAAAGATTCAAAGAGCACTTGAGGGACTGAAATTTTATAGGCACTAGAATATCAGAACAAGATTGCTAGATTTGATGCAAGACTGGTTAATGTTTTACTGGCAAATTCACAACCTTTGAGTTTTCCACTGGTCAGAAAACATTTGCATCCCTACCAGACAAAAACCCACATACTGATGGGTAACTTGAAGAGCCTATTTAATAGTAAATATTAACTGAAACAGGGACACACACCTAAGAGCTGCACCATCAAATCTGGTAGCTAGTGGCCTCCTGTGGCTATTTAAATGTGAGCTAATTAAAATTTTTCGAGATAAAAAGTTATCCCCTCTCCCAGTCTCAGCATCCAGCTCTTGAGTGTGGGAAACCATATGTAGCTAGGGGTACTCTGTTAGAGAGGGCAAAAGAGAACATTTCAAATCCTATTTGTGTCTTGACATCAACTCTGTTAACCTTATTATGTTGTTGTTTTTCAGAGTCTTTGATATACAAATAAAAATATTTTCTTTGTATTAAAAAAAAGAGAGAGAACATTTCTACTGTAGCTGAAGGTTACAGCTATGGCATTAGCCCTAGGGAACTCCTCAGTGAGAGTATCCACCTTGTGGCAGAACTCCAACAAATCACGAACAGAGCAAGTTAAGATTGCATGCATACAATTTATATCTATCCATGGTTTCTCTGTTCCAGGTAGCCCCAAGCCAAAATCAAGGTGTCAGCCAGCTGGGCTCTTATCAGGAGGCCCTGGGAAGAAGGCACTTGCAGGCATCCCCAGACCTAGCGGCAGAACTGCTGTCCCTGTTTCCCGGCTACGGCAGGGCCAGCCCTACTCTCGGCACTGCTTTCCATTTGGCCCTTTCCAGCAACTGGTAACAGCTGGTAACTCCCTCAGCTTTCCGTCTCTGACGTCCCCTTCTGGGTCATCTCCGACTGACACCAGCTACAGAAAGTTCTCTGCCTTTAAGGGTTCAAATGATCAGAATACACCCACCTTGATGATCCAGAGTAACCTTTCTGTTTTAGTCCATTTTTCTGTCACTAACACCTGAAAATCACACTGGGTAATTTACAAAGAAAGAGGTTTATCTAAAGGTCCTGGAAGTCCAAGATCAAGAGGCCACTTCTGACAAAGTTACGTCGTTGTGAGGGATTTTCTCTGGTCTCGAGGCGTCATGGGGACTCACGCAGCAGCTTGCATGCATCTTCGTCTGTGTGTCTGTTCATATAGAGCTACCAAGAATCAGTTATGGGAGGGCTTTGCCCTAACGGCCTTATCTACTCCTAATTCTCTCCCAAAGCTTCTAGCGTTTAATCCCATAGTCAGTTTGTACCCTCGTAGTCCCATCACAATCAAATTTCAACATGTGAATTTTAAAGGAACGTGTTCAAACCATAGCATTTCCTATCTTCAATTTTATAAATTTATTACATGTTAAAATCACTTTTACCATGTAATGAAAAAAATTCAGAGGATTTAGGGATTGGGACGAATACGCATTTGGACAGCCATTGTTGCACCTACTACTAGGCTTGTTAGACAATCTGAGTGTGACTTTGAAGAATGTGCTATCCTCCTTTTGTCTTATTTTCAAATGTTGGGTAATTTTTCTTAACAACTTCCTAGGGCTATTGTGAGGATTAAATACATTAACCCAAGTAAGGTGCTTAAAATAGGACCCGGTGCAAAGTGTTCTGTGATCCTTGACCTTTCTGTTCTCAGTTCCCTCAGCTGTTAGATTTCAGTAGCATCGCTGTCTGCATTGTGAGGTGGTTGTGAGGATTCCGTTAACACACAGTAAGTAATCAACACAGTGGCCTACACAGAGAAAAGGCCTGCTGTCTGGATGAAGAAACAAAGGGGATCTTGCCAGCAAACAGTGTCCTTGCTTGCCTGCGGGTGGATAAAGAAAGTTCCGGCACTTGCTTTTTCCACCCAGACCCTGGTGCCCTGTATTTCATGCACAGAGAACTAATGTTTCTGTCCACGTGGAAATTTACGTATTGAAGCACTAACCCCCAATGTGACTGTATTTGGACATAAGGCCTTTACTGAAAGCAATTAAGGTTAAACAAGCTTGTGAGTGCAGTAATTCATTAATAGTAGAATTGTTTATAGATGTAAGAGTCAGAGTAAGAGACACCAGAACGCTCTCACTCTTTCTCCTCAAGGACTGAGGAGAGGTCATGTGAGGAGAGAGGAGAAGGCGGCCATCCACAAGCCAGGAAGAGATCCCTCACCAAAAGCCAAACCAGCCAGCACCTTGATCTCGGACTTATCAGCTTCTGGAACTATGAAAAATAAATTTCTGTTGTTTAAACCACTCATTCCGTGGTATTTTGTTATGGCAGCTCTTTCTAAGACAGCAAACCAAACCCACAGAGGCCCACTGGGACAAATCGGAGTGAACACCACCTCCCTCCATGAACCGCCCTCGTCCAGTGAACTATGTCACACTAGGTCTCCTCCCACAGAGCACAGGGAAAGTGGGAATCTGTTGAAATGTAGGCCAGAGAGAACACAACCGGAGACTAACTTATCAATGCCATGCGTTTCCTCCTACAAGAGACAAAATTTGCCGCTGCAAGTGTAAAGTCGTCCCCTTTGTATGTAATCCTTTGAGGTTTAAAATAAATGCACAAAGAATGTAGTTTTATAGGTATATTGCTTTTTTTTTTTTTTTACGTTTGTTTCTTCTATGAGAGAGAAACAGAAGTAGGCAGAGAAGCCTAGCAGGGTCTTCACACCACTGTCCATTCTCAGTCTCAGCTGGCCTGGGCCATGGGTACTCGTGTACACCCAGCATGCTCAGGAAGGTCCGGGGACTTGAACCCATGTGGATTAAGTTGCACTACTGCTATGCTACCACCTGACCTGGCTTCTTGTTAGAAACTCAAGTCACAATTTAAATCCTCGCACCCCCTCCCCTTTTTTTTTTCTTTCAGTTTTTTCCAGAGGGCTTGGGTGCTAGCCAGAGAAAGAGCGAGGGAGAGGGAGAAATCACCCCCTCCCCCCACCACCCCGGGAAGAAGATGGCTGTGCTGCAATCCCTTCTCTTCATTTTTCTCTTCTTGCAGGTTTTTGGGCATACATGCACATGAACCCAGCATGCTTCTCAAACCACTGGATCTGGGCCTCGAACCACACAGTCAACCATGTGGGATTCAGCCACCTTAACCACCAGACCATGAGATGGCCCTTCACCTTCCAGTCTTCATCTTCTCGTTCATCTATGAATCCTCTCTGGCTCCCCCTGGAATAATTACCACTCCATTTTTCATGCCCAGTGGCACCCCACTAGATTTCCAGCCACTGAAAAAGCTGTTCCTTTATTTTATGCAGATATGAATTGCACTACATGAATCCATGCTCGCAAGAAATACGCCTTCTTTTCTAGAATCCAGCATAATTTCTATTCTGAGCCCATATTCACTCTGCGTGGCTCATAACAGTCAGTATAGGACTTTCTGCTCCTCTCTGCCTGATTCCTTATCACAACTTGAGGTTGACATAGAACCAAGGCTATGGGGGCTTTGTAGGGCTGGGAAGATGACAGGGCAGCTGGCCTTTGGTGGCCACCTCCTCACCCCCCTTAGCTGGGATGTCTGACATCCAGGATGACCCTCAGTAGTTGGCTGCTACAGGACACTCCTGAGCCATCACTGTTTCCCACTGAGAGACTTTCCTCTAAATCTGTGCTCTTCTGAGTCCACAGAAGTGGTTTTCTATTCCCCATCTACATTGACTCCAGGTCTCTTCAGAATTACCCCAGACCCATCTACCCAGGCACCCCATGCAGCTGTGTCAGCTCAGCGTGTGAAACTTTTTCTGTAAATAACCTCCCAGCATAGGTACATCCACACACAGCCCTCAGTATCTCTTGCTTCTTCTCCAGCTGGGGCATGGCCAGCCAAGCACTGCTTGGACAGCCCAGAGAGGTGAACGCTCCCAGACTGATCACATGGATAATCACTTAAAACTAATTCCTCACTTATGTCAGCGAGATGGCCCCTGAACATCTGGTTCAGATAATCCCCTCCTCCTCCCCGCACCCAGCCTGAAACGTTCTACCAAATGTTGCAAGGGAAAAAATACAACCTGTACGACTTCACAGCTGGTCGGTGACCCAAGTCTGCAGGCTGACACCCAGGAGCAAGTCTACCCCCGGCAAAGCAGATCTGATTTCAGTGTGTTCGTTTCCATGATTCAAGACCCAACTTCTCTCCCACCTTTTCCCTCCCCATCACTCTGTCAGAAGAATGTCTCCCAAAAACAGACCATAAATGTTAAGAAACTACCACCAGGAAGGCAGCCCCAGAGCTCTGTGATCCCTTCAAGAGCCCTACTTGATTCATTGATTCATCAAACCTCTATTGGGATTCCCAGTACATGCCAGGCTAGGCCCAGGATAACAAAGAGTCAATATTTCAGAGAAAATCTAAAAGATCCTGTATTAGAATCTG